TAGTTTCTCTTATATTTAAACAAAGAAACAATTGCTTATGTAAAAATGTATCTCTTTCAAACGTTACCTTTCAAATTTTTTTCTTCAGATAATGCTGAAGTTTATTTTTAAATGAAAATTTTAATTGAAGAGGTTATAATTTTAACATGTACAACAAAGATTTGATGAGTCTCTGTAGTTTATTGTAGCCATTAAAAAGTTGTGGCTGCTGGCAGAATACCAGTGAAAGTCTAAAGCTGAAACAGATGTGACTAGCAGAAACCAAGTCCAAAGAAGCGTCGGGCCCAGCTATCCAGACAGGCGCGGCCCTTCAGATGTAAATAATTTGAACAATATTAACTGGGGCTGCCTGTGTCATAGTGTACATTGAATTTATTTCACAGATTGGTTGGCTAAGGTAGTCTTAAAGAGATTATCTTGCAAGTGGGATGAGACAAAGGTAATAAATGAAAGAGGAGTTTTCTTGTGTGCCATTAGGGAAGGACTAATATTCCTGTTAGTGACATACTTTTTTTTTCCTGAGATTTGTACAGCGTTATTAAAAAAAAAAGATAAATACCACCTCTTGTGCCTGAAATGGCAATTTTGATAGACATGTTTCAAAATAGTTGTCACCTAGTATTTAAAACTATTTTTAGTAGTTTATCAAGGCTTTGATGTGTCTTTCTAACATGGATATTAATATAGGAAAGATTGAGTTATCATGAATGGCGTGTCTTAATGGTGTAAACCTCTGGTTTGAAATACCTAGACATGGTGGAACCAAAAGTTCAAATCTAGATGGAGCACAAACCCTTTCATCCTTTTCAGATAAACAGATTGAGTTCCATACAATTTGCTATTTTGAAGTCTTTCAGATTAGACTTTAAAGGGACAGACTAACTTTAGTCTAAAGGGATTAGACTGAAGTTTGACTCAAAAATTCAAACAAATTTTTGGACAACCTTAATCCAAAAGGTTTTTGACACATATTCCAGAACAAACTTGGTAATCATGAGCATTTTTAGGTTAAAAAGAATGATAAACAGAAATATGCATTTAATATAGGCTTTTAAGGGGAAAGAAGTGCAAAAAAATGCAATATTAAATAGTGAGATGAAAATTTTAGAGTGAAATCTGGTTCCACTTTAAAATCACAGGAAAAAGAAATGTTTTCTATAATCTCAAGGTTTTAATCCAGGTCTGTATAGTCCGTGTATTTCCAAGTTTATCAAACATTACGTAGTAGCATAAGCAGATACATTTATTCATTTAACAGGTATTAGCTTTCCAGTTAATTTGTATATTTATGAAAAAAAAACCTTTTTGCTTTGCATCAATATCTTAAGATTGTAAGATATATATCTTATTCCTTGTCTAGGGCAATGATTTCCACTTTTTCCTTCCCTATGAGCAAACATGATTTCCCTTCTAGTCTAGACAATGCCACTTGATTGGTATTCTTCTGGAATAAGCACAGAATGTTTGAAATGTAGAATCATAAGAAGATTTTTAGAAAGCAAGCAGCTTTACCGAAGAACAATAGGCTTGTATAAGTTTTACCATGAACCTTTTATTCATCTCTCTCCAAAGCTGAACAGTCTTAATTATTCAAAATTAATTGCACTGTAGATTTTTTCCATCTGTCATACTCATTGCTGTTCTTTACAGTATAGTTTGTAAAATTTTAAAACGCTGCTCCATTAGTTAAAAGAAAGCAATATTCCCTTGTAATGTTCATTATAACTTTTTAGTATTCTTGACCTAACAACTGAAAGAGCAAAGGTTGAGTGGTTAAAAATGGAAACCAAGGTAGGTCCACTCTGAATACTTTCAAGAGTCTCACCTTTATATTAAATTCTCATAATTAATTAGATTTCCTATGAGATTGTAACATTCTGATCCCATGGAAAATCCACATACCTTTTGCTTTCACCTTTCATGGCTACCAGTAGAGACACTAGTTGCCATTTTCATACTAATATTTTTTCAGTACTGTATTTATGTTTTAAATTTTTACTAACTGAATATGTACATAGGTGTTTACACACACACATACATGACTGAAAGGAAATAATTTAATCTCGAATACAAACAAGACTTCATGGATCAGCTACCTATAATAATCGGTTGGATTTCGGTATTCCGGGAGACATGGTTTCAAATTGGGGCCATCTTAACCTAATTGTTGATAGATCTGTATCTTGCATACGTGTGTTAGCCCCAACTTTTCCACATTTAAGTAGTGGAACTTCATCAAAACTTCAGCTTATGGTAACCCCATTTTATAAAGTTGTGTAATCCTTATAAAAAGATTAAAAGGGAAGCAAGTAAAACTATGAAACTACGCATGAAAAGTTGAGAAATGACGATGTTCCATTGTCTGTTTTCACTTTTTTTTTTTATACAGAAGCATTACAAATATCTTAAAATCATAGAGAAATGCAAGTTGGTATATATATATATATATATATATATATTCTTTTTCACGGAAACAGATCCAGTGCACTGGATGTGACTAGCATGGTGTTGCTGTACCAATACCAGCATTATAGCTAATTAACCCTGTGTCTTAGGGTGGTTGACTAGACCAGACTAAACTGCTGCATCTACATTGCTCTCATTGAGTGACTCTTCAGGGAGCTCTGTATCACATTATATTGAAAACTGTTACGAAACTAAGACAAGAACGGAAGAGAATTTAGAAACGAGAAATGGATGGAAATTGTAAAGGGTCATTCATTCTTGATTCTTGCAGCCACTGTCACTATAAACAGAGACAATGAGGAAGCTGCAAAAAGAAAAAGTAATGAGTTCATATTCATTTAAGACTAGAACCCTCTGATTTTCCAGATTTAAAATACTTAACAACATCTGCTTTTGTCAAGGATTACGAGGGAATATATTTACCCATAGGAAAATATACAATAGCAGAAAAGTTTAATCAGTATTATTTACAAGAAATTAATTTAAAGTTCTTAAGTGTGTGTTCCCATCAGAGTCCTCAAACTGAGTTAAAGGCTTTTGCAACAAAATGTCTGCTAATTAACTATAAATCATTTTTGTTCTAGAGATTAATTGGTGTTTCCAATTAATGGATTGAGACATTTCCAGCTTTTGTTGGATTTCTATGTAAGCACAGGTGAAGAAATTGAATGTGTTATTATTTATTCAGATGGAATTATGTATTTAGTTCATACATAATATGGCCTTAGATAAAGTCTGTTTTATGGAATAGAATTTTAGTATAATCAAGATACAATAGCCATTAATAGGGCAACGATTACAATGTTGAGAGGTTTTGTCTGTTGTTTGATTTGCTTTATAGACAATAAGGTTACTGGATCACATCATGAAAATTCTAAATATTACGTCAGTTTGAGGTTAACTTCCTAAATAGACCAATAGATATTTCTCAGTAAAAGGTGATTGTTTATTCATTACAGGGGGACAGTATTAATAAAAGTATCAAAGGCCCTT